CTTGCCCTGAAAGCCTACCCTGAACCCTGCCTGTAGTAGATAGAACTTTAAATTCGTGCGCTCACAAAAAACCAACTCCCTGGCATCAACTGCCTGTGAGTTTCCAATACTGTAACTCTTTCCCAAGTCGAAAGCCCGGTCAATCTTTTTTTATTTTAAGGCGTTTTATTTTTAAATTTTTACCGAAACCCGCCGCCCCCCCCCAAAAAAAACCCTCCAGCATGTCAGTGTTGCTGTAGAAATCACTCAGGGGTGTTTATTGCCTTTGCTCAGATCTCAGGGGAGGCCACATCCTACCACCACCCACCAGAGCCACGGCCCTTTCCCCCTTGGGGACATACATAGCTGTAACCCTCTCCCTCTGTCAATAAGTAGTCAGTGATTCACAGGGAAGCTTTGATGGACGGCACTCCCTGACCCACTGACCCCTCTCTCCTTGGGCATCAGCGCAGCTCATTTTCATTGGAGGGAAAGGCTGCTGCAGCTCAAACTTCAGAGTCCTCCCTGCCTGGTCCCTTCCAGGAAGCCTCGTCTTCTGCTTCCCCTGAAAGGACGGATGGCCAGGGACACACACACACACACACATAAGCACACACATCACTACCCCCAGCTCCTACCCACTCCTACTGCTTCCAACACCTAGTGACCATTTCTACCTGGCAACACTGCCCGGCCTTCAACGTCAACTCCTATCATGTCCTCTGGGACACCTCCCTTAGGGCTTCCTCAACCCATGTTGGAGCCTGTCACGTCTTCCCCATTCTCCGATGGCTCTCCGTCCACATGTCTGTCATCACGTTGGGTGCTGAGAGCTATCTCTGAGCTCTCAAATTCTGCCCCACCCCACCCCCACCCCTACCTGCACCTATGCAAGGTGAATGCTCAAGGAGTGTCTTGGGTTGGTGGGTGGGCAGGGTTTGGGGAGCAGAGAGACAAGGGCAGGAGAACTGCGTGCCCTGTGGGTGCTGGAGAAAGAGTTGCCTGCTGCCTCATGGTGGCCATGTCCTCCTGTAGCCCCGAAGACTTGCCTGGGCCGAGCCCCCGGGCTTGGGGAGTATGTCAGGGCCAGAGCAGAGCCCACTGTCTATTTGAGGGCTGTCTGCAGCTCTGTCACAGCCATACCCACCCCCTCGCCCACCTACCCACTGACCTTGATCTTGAGCCACAGCGTACCTTGCTAACTCTTCCCCAGGGACCTCTGACTTTGCCTTTGGCTTGTACATTTCCACCATACACCTCTCCTTGACACCTTATCCTGGTAACACGATGAGAATGCCAGAGCCAGCCTTCTAGAAATGTCTGCCTCCCCGCCCCACTCTCCTAGAAGGCGTGGGTGGAGGTGGGGCTGCCACCTGTGTCTACACCCTGGGGCGAAGAAAAGGACAGATCCCCAGCCAATATGGCAACTGGCTCCTAGTGGGCACCATGTTGGTCTTTGCACATTGAGCCCTGGGGCCCCGATCCCAGCCCCAGTGGACACTGGCCACAAGCCTAGGGGGAGCTGCCTCTTAGTCCCCTTCATGAGCTGGAGTACCGATGCCTTGGCCAGGCTGAAAGACAGCTCATGCTCTGAGAGTGCTGAGCTCTGGGAAGTGAGTTTTCCGGCAGTGGGAGCTGTTGGCTCTGGAGAACATTCTGGTGGCCGTCATACCAAGAAATCGCTGTGGGTTTTCAGAATTTCTCCATCTTGGGAGTCTTGGCTACGCACGCAAACCGAGAGGCAGAGATGGGGGGCGGAGTGGGGAGGGGGGAGCTGGACTCAATCTTCACTTGAAAAAAAATCCTTAGTTATGTTTTTGCTATAGCCTTT